AATCGTACCGATAACGGCGATCTTCACATTCAGCTGTGCTCCGACCACAGATTGTTTTTGGCAAGTACAAACTTCTGCCATAAGAAGCCGCACAAAACGACATGACATCCTCCTACGTCTTCACAACGCCGGACTCAGACTGACCATATTGTGATTGGTCACCGTTGGTGTGGATCATTTGAAGACTGTCGTTCATTTTGCTCTACGCCTGTGGACACTGATCACGCCTTGATACGTGCTCGCTTCTGTTTACGTTTCGTTCGTCGTCGCACCAAAGTAAATGCCATCCACCCCGCGTGGTTTCTTCTAGACGACAGCCGACGATCTACTTTTCAAGCAGAGCTGTGTACCCGCTGTCGATGCAGCCGGATGTGCAAGACTCAGATGAACGCCGGCTGCAGATCGATAAAACCTAGTATGCAGCGTCTAACGCCACACAGGACTAAGGTTCAAGTAGGCCGCACAAACGATGGAATGCTCGCAGATCTCTCCCCCCGTATGCCACATGCAATGAAGTGCGTAGATCCCTGAGACGCCAACTGACTAGGAGCCTGGGAAATGACCGCGAGCAGTAGTGGATTGCCAAATATGGGAAAATAGAAAAGGCTGCCTCTGTTGGGAATACTCACAACCTTTTCCGAGGTATCGGTCCACGGAAAGCCGGTATGAGTTATTCAAGGAATCCGAAGGTTCACTGATTCATTTCCAGGGACGTAGTCTGAATCAATCGGCGGAGCACTTTAGGGGACCATTCAGTTGGTGCACTTCAACACTGGACCTTCCGAGTATACCTACCGGTGAACCGATACATGCAGATATCATTCCATCATCAGAGATGAAAATTGTGCGGGAGATATGTTACTTGAAAAGATACAAAGCCGCTGCACCGGATGGGTTGTCTCCATTTTTTTCAAGGATGGAGGCGAAGATTTGGTTTCGGAGTTAACAAAACTCCTCCGTATTATTTGGGATGTGAGCAGATTCCTAGGAAATGGTGTGAATTTATGATTGTGCTGATTTACAAGATAAGCGATATGTCCTCTTGTGGAAACCACAAAGGAATTAGCTCGGTAGGTATCACTTCAAGCTGCTCACCAGGCTCATTCTCCACCGATTATACAGCATACGCGTGAAAATCAAGCCGGTTTCAGACCCGGTCCGGGTTGTATCGACCACATCTTTACTGTTCGGCAAACCTTAGAGCACAAACACATCTTCCGTAAGCCCATCATCTGGTTTTCTTAAGCTGAAAGCGGTGCTTGATTCAGTCGACAGCACAGTTCTCTGACACTGCCTCTCACTGAAGGGTATGCCAGAGGGGTTTTCTACTCTTTTCTAATGCCTGTACGCGAACAGCCGAAGCCAAGTTCGTGCTTACGGCGATCTTTCACCCGAGTTAACAATGGAAAGTGGTGTTCGTCAGGGTCGCCCTCTTTCACCCTTCCTCTTCGATTTTGTAATTTGATTGGCAGTAAAATGTCTGATTTGGAATACGCAAGTGAAGATCCAGGTAAGTTGCAAGCCTTCTCAAATAGCCTAAACAAGTGCCATTATGTTTCGGATGAGTTTCGGACCTTTGAAGTGTAAAATGCTGCTTCAGGACAGAGCTGGCTCGACACCAAATCTTGTCCTGGTGTGGGAAGTTCTAGCTGAAGTAGATAAGTTTTCTTACCTGGGTAGTTACATCCCAGCACGTGGCCTGATATCAAATGAGATGTCATCACGCATGCAGAAGGCGCGTTTGTTTTTGGCTATCTTGTCATCTCTGGCGCCGGCGTGACATCCAACTGTCTGTTATGGGTAGAGTGTACAATGCAACGGTTAGGTCAGTTCTTTTATACAGCTCAAGAACATGGCCGTAAAGATGAGACAGACGAAGACTGACGGTGTTCGAGCATCGATGTCTCCGCTGAATTGCCCAATTATGGTGGGAACACCGTATCAGTAATGCTGAGGTTCGGCGCAACTTGTTGGGAACCAGTTGTCTGTTTCTGGATCAAGTACTGAATCTAAACAGGTGAGGGTGGTTGGCACATGTGTTACGCATGCCCACCGATAAACTTCTCCGGCGTACGCTGTTCTCTGAGGCAGGTGGTGATTGGAAGGTAGGTCAGGGTGGTCAGTCCATGACATGACGAAAAGGTATGAAGGCTATAACCAATGGACTTGGCCAAGTAGGACGTGTTCGACTTCCGGGTTGGGGTCCGCGTGACCCGACTAGCAGATGGTTGGAGACAGTGAGCGATATGGCTGGGTGACGTAGTTGCATTCGGGATTGTCCTCGTGATTTCCGCCTATTACTTTTTTTTGGATCTTTTTCACTTTGTGCTTCTATTTTTGCTCCTTAATGGACAATGCTGGAAGGTAGCAGCCGAAAGCAGAGCCCAGAAGTGCGGCGGTCAGTGTTTAAATAAACTGAAACCGAAACTGAATTTCTCAGAAAACCATGCGACTTGCCGCCTCCGCAAACTGCCCGAAACCTTTGATCAGCTACTGTTAGCCTGCATTTGTTTCCACTGCCACTGATTCCTCATTACCGGCCGAAACACGCAACTTCAGGAATGAAGCATCTGTGCCCGTGACCAGGAAATCCACGCAGCCATAAGCTGCAGCAGTTTCTTTGAATTTCCAATTTTTTCATACACTCAGGATCGCTTTGCAGGCTATATCCGATATCTACTTACATATAGAACAGAATTATAGGAGAATAAGAGCACATTCGTTCTGTCGCGCCAGGACCAGTAGCGGCCGCAATGCGTCGGTATGCTCGCTGGCTTCAATCTTTTCGTCGATTCTGGACAAGCGATGACGTGCTGTTTGATAAACGAATCAATCCGTCAGTAGACGGTGTCATTACCCCTATATTCTCCTTCGCCGATAAAGACCATCGCTTCTCGTTCTTCTAGGTTAGTGTGGATTTTTACCACTCTTCGTAACACTGGCACGTGTCTTCGGTTTCTTCGATGGACCTTAAACGACCGATTTCCCGAAAAACAGTAGGGTAACCGAAACATCGCCTAATTTTAATTTTTCCACCGACAACAACGTGTTGATGACAACACATTTTTTTCTCGAATGACCCGTAATTATTACCATCGAACAATTAGGGTACTCTAGATCACAAATGTCCTCGACTATGAATACCCAAACGGATGTGGCAGAATAGCGAACAGAAAATTTAAATCTCCTCTAATGCCGCGCCACACGAAAGCATACAAGCCATTTCACTCCCGGACAAAAACAAACAGTAGAACTGCATAGTATTTAAAAAAATAAGCCAATATGAATAAGACTGACCTGTCATGTAATATCGACCCTGAAAACCTGGACTACTGAGATTCTATTTAGTTCCTCAATCAAAGTCACAAGATTCTCCGTGACGTTTGTGGATTTGTGGTAAACTCGACTGTTCCGAGAAAATGAAAATCTTCCAGATATTTATGTTTACTTCCTTTCTGTAAGGATGTTAAGACGAAAAAAATACTTTTGTAGGCAAGCCAATAACCAACTCGAGTGTGTCAGGCCGGATTTAACAACCAATAGTCAATAAATTATCGGACCGCTTGTGACGTAACTCTTTTTCGCTGATCCAGCATTTATCTACAGTCGGACGCAAACTGGGTCAAAGGATTAATAATCGACCGGAAAACCATTTTATCCACCTAATCGGCCCAACAGGGCTTGAACCTAACTAGATGCCCGAGTTCGGGAATGTTAGATCTTCGTTTTATATGCAGCATAGTAATCTTTGTGAAAGACACATTCTTGGCGAGTCGGGCTTTTGCCTTCTGGTTTTCCGTAGCGGGCTGGAGTGACTAAAGTGGCAAGCTGAGATTGAGTGCGCAGGTTTCTCGAGAGTCGCAACGTATTACTATCTCTATGATCTGTTCTGATACTCAATTTTGAATGCACCGCTTTTCTTCGGTTGTATTCGTTTTATTGAACTTGAGAAGCACAAAGTTCCCGTCGACTTCGCCTTTGACAGACTTTCGGATTTCGCCGACTGTACACTCTCGGTTCACTGCTGCGCTTCGTTTACGTTTCGTGTACGGCTTATATCGGTGCTATTTCGGTGCCACGATATACACAATACGTTACCGCATCTGTTTACCGACTCGAGTCCTCGCTGTTCATTCGACCAAGGGGGGCCCGTTTGTACTTCACCCAGAAACTCAACAGAAGATACGTTCGAGGGTCGTATACCCTTCGTCTCCTATAGATTCTTGTGACTACGGGGTATGTCCTTTACTAAGGACTCATGAAAGTCCACGGAGGCAAATCGCTTATATGGATTTTCAACGGTGATATGAGCGTTGTTTCTGCACGATGAACCAAACTATAAATAGTTTAAATCTACTATTGAAACTGTTCAATCATGTGTAGTTATCTGATGGATCTGTAACAAAATGCAAATAGATTCAAGACCTGAACGATTAGTCTCAAGTTGTATTCTTTCCTTTAGCACAATGATCACAGCTGATTAACCTGAAATGGAAATTTCGCCACAGTGTTCGCCGGTAGGTAGCACTCCACTGTCGCCCGACTCGTTGGCACGCCTGGCTTACAAAGCACTTGAGTGACTTTCTATTCCAAGGCTGAAGGTGCCGATTATTGATAGTGCAAAGAATCACCCTGGTTATGGGATGGTCCATTCTAATGCACACATGTGAAGAACAACGGTCGAGTGGCTTCAGCATCTATTACCACGAGGATTCACATCCCGCTAGCTACCTTGGTGGCAGACAGCAATCCACCGTCGCACGGCTCACTACCGAATCCCGCCTTACATGGTTGTTTGCTCCAAGTCTGACGCTCGTGATCACCGGGTATCCTTAATGGTGCGGCGGGTCATTGAGGTTATTGGGGTTCGCCCATTCCGCAGCACTTATCCTCAAAAATTAAATAAAAAGCTGGAACAAGTGTATCTCAACTAAGAAGCATCACTGCGGTAAATTAAGCCAATAAGAAATTTAACCAACAAAGAACCAACTACCACATACCTGGAAATAAATGAACGGGTTCTTGTCAAATAACTCGGGCCACAAGGAGTTTACCTTCTCTATCACTTCCGCTATATTCCGCCTCAATACCGCCTCACGGATCCACATTCGATCCACCAAGCTTTCTCCGGAAATACGCATCTCAGTGAGCGGTTCTGTAATACCGGTTTCACGACTAAATTTCTCAGCTGCATCTTTGTAACCCTCGACTACGAGATATTCCAATATAAGGCGATTGATTTCTTGACGGGTTAAGCTGAGTCCATCATTACTTTCAATCGACCCAAAGGCATGCAGAGGGACACCAGCAGGAAGCACTTCAGATGTATTTACGCTATTAATTTTCGAATTGCGTACGTCATCGGACTCTGTATGATGTAGTGTAGACATAGATCCAATTTTTTTCTTTCAGTAAGGCTAAAAACGAAGAATAAAAAGCACTGCAAAGGTGCGAGAATTATATTTCACGAGCGAGCTAACAAGTGAAAGTGAAGTTAACGGATGAAAAAAATATCACACTGGTAGGACTACGAAAGTAAAGTGGATTGCTCAAATGTCGATAGCAGGTCGTAAAGTTGAATCTACAGCCATAAGGCAACTGAACGCTTGAATGTACCAAAAGTGCAGTAAAATGAGCAAAACCAACTCAAAATACCAAGTTACAGTTTGCGTGTAAGCGAAACTTTATTGTTCCCTAAAATCATTTTAGTTAAAATAACCCAATTCTGTCCAACTGGCAGTTGCATCCACGAAATATTTGTCCGAAGTAGAGTGCTTGAACTACGTTAATCACCATTGTCTAACAAATTTCTTGACTCGCGAGAAACATGCGACAAAGTTGACCGGTTCTGACCTGGCTCGTTAGTTAATGAGGGCGTTTTTCCTTCAAACTCTCTCCGTTTATTAGGTCGTTTTCATAAGTGATGACTATAACGTTTCCGTCCAGTTTTCAATTATGAGTGGCTCTTCTGGCTGATTGGTTTTATTACAGCACGATTGGTTGGTTTGACCCAGACAACAGTTGCAAGAGAAACAATGAAGGTAGACATCAACCCCTAATCAGAAACGGTGGCTGTGCATGAGATAGGTTATTCGAAAGGATACAAAGCTACTGGACAAGGCGGGTTGCATCCGTTCATTTTTTTAGAATGGAGATGATGCTTCGTAGTCAACCAAACTCCCTCGGGTAATATATTATAGTCAGCAGATTCTCGGGTAATAGTTCGAATTCGTGATTGCAGCGATTTACAAGATGATAAGTACCCTCGTCAAAACCACAGAGAAACTAGCTTGGTAAGTAACACATCCCGACTGCTTTCCGGGATTATTTTTTACCGATCATCCAGCACCGGTAAAAGGTGTACGCGTGAGCATCAAGCCAGTTTCAGACCCGGTCAAAGTTGTATCAGCCATATGTTTAGCTTCCGATAAATTTGAGGGCAAAGGCACACCTTCTGTAGGTCCACAATGTATTTCTTGAAACTGAGGCAGCATTCGAATCAGCCGAACGCACATTCCTCTGGCGCTGCCTCTCGTTGAAGGGTACTCCAAAAGAAAACATTTCTGTTTTCCAATGCCTACATGCGAACAACCGAAGCCAAACTCGTGCTCACTGCGGTTCTCAACCCAAGTTCACCACGAAAAGTGGCGTTTGTCAAGGTTGCCCCTCCTCTTCGATTTTGTAATTGAATTGATTCTTGAGACGGTCCTATCCTCGTGTGAGGATAGCGGAATCAACCTTTACTGAGGCAGTAAACTGTCTTACTTGGAATACGCGAAAGATATTATTCCTCCGAGTGGAGAACTAAGTAAACTGCAAACTTTCTTGAATAGCCGCAACAACAGCGTAGCAATATTTCGGATCCACTGCTGCAAAACTGTGTTGGCATTACACCAAACTGTTAGGAAGTTAAAAGCGAGAGAAATAACTTTTTCCGAGAAAGCCATTACAAGCTCAAGCGTATCAGGCCGGATTGCATCATGAATAAACAATAATTCGTCAGATCACTCTGGACGTAACCCTTTTTGCTGATCGAGCAGTCATCTGCAGTCTGACGCCAACTGGGCCAGCAGATCAATAATCAATCCAGCAAAACGTTTTTATAGGCCTAATCGACCCAACAGGGCATCAGCCTAACTGGACGCCCGAGTTCGGGAATGTTTGATTTTCACTTTAAATACCGCATGTCAGTTTCTGTAAGAAAAAAGCAGTCGTTGGCGATCTGAGCTGTTGTCTTTTGATTTGCTATAGCGGGCTTGAGCGATCGGAGTTGTCAGCTGAGATCGAGTGCGCCGGTTTCTCATTTATGTCGTGGGAAACAACCGTGGGTCATGACACATTACAAACCTTGCCCGGGAAGGGGAAATTCCGTCTAAATTATATATATATATATATATATATATATATATATATATATATATAATCATCTTGGCATCAAGCAAAAGGCCGACGCAACAACAACAATCACAAAGTAGGGGGAGGGAAGTATAATACAGTAAAAGAGAGTTACTGATAAAAAGTGAAATGCCGACTCCTTTTGCTTCTTAACGTATTTCTTTGATGTCCTTTGCCATTTCATTCGTCCGAGTAACACTCCTGTGATAACGAAGCGCACTTGTACAACAGACAGACTGCACAGCATTTGCATCACTGACTCCAAGCCCAGCCATGTCTCTCAACATCTCTGACCAACGACAATCCTCGTCCCTTGGCCCTAACCCCGAAGGTGGGAAGCACTAATCAAAACCAATGCTGGTGCTAACTTCTTCACACCTCAACGCCATGTCATAGCCTGACCGCTGCGTCGCTTCTTCTAGCCTTGTCCAGCACGTGCAAATAGGGCACGGAAAGGTAGACGATGGACAGGTATTCTTAAAACATGACCAAGCCACCGGAGGTGGTGTAGAAAGATCACTTCGTTAAGAGGGCGGCTATCCATGCCTCACACACAACGGCGCACCTCGTCATTACTTACTCGATATTCAAACCAGACGCGAGCAATACTCCACAGACATCAATAGTCGAACACAAAAAGACGCCAAGCATCCTCAACACGAGGCGGTTAGGTCTCGCAACCGTAGAGTAAAACACTTCAAACCGCGGCGACGTACACCCGTCTCTTAAGAGACAGCCAGATGTCACCGCGGCGCCACAGGTGTCGCAGGTTTGCGAAGACTGTTCTAGCTCTTGCTAATCATGAACTGATCTCTTCCGTAACACCACCTCTAGCTGGTATCAAGCTCCTGAATTACGGAAAGTTGTCAACTCACTCTAGCTGATCATTACAAACGGTGGGTGCAGGCGCAGGCTTCTGCCAGTCTTGTAAAAGCACTTCGTACTTGGAAGGCCCAAAATGCATTTGGTATATGGACATCTCAATCAGCTAGTGCTCCAAAGCATGTTGTATTGCTTGCGCATTATCAATCAGCAAAGTAATATCATCGACATATTTCAAGTCAAAACTCTGTTCCGTGAGAGAAATTCAACTGCACCGTTTGGAACACCAGACAGAGCATTGCGTAGAACGTCTTCTATGGAACGTTTGAATGGAAATGGGGATATACGGCAACTTTTTTCTACTCCAATGGAGATGACAACAGGGGACGAAAGCTGGCCTTGGACCCCGGCCCGACCTTAGGTGTGACAATACAACTCTTTGAGGACCGATACGTACTTCCCAGGTATTCCACGGCTCAACAATCAATCTCATAGTACAGCCCTATCGACAGAGGCAAAAGCCGCGTAAATGTCCAAGAACACGATGATTGTTGGTCTTTGGAATGTGTGACCGTGCTCTTACAGCTGTCCAAGGATGAAGATTTGATCGAGACATACAGGACCGGCACGAAACCCAGCCTGCTCCTTACAAGTCAGCTTTTCACGCTTTTGGTACAACCTGCGAAGCATGACAGATGTAAGCAGCGTCGGCATTATTGAGATAAGGCTCATACCCCAATGGTTAGCACAGTAAGTGCGCGCGCCCTTCTTAAAGATGGAAATAACCATTGACTTTCCCTACAAGGACGGAACTTGCTCAGAATTCCAGACTTTTGCGAACAAAACCTGAGTTCTCTAACGAGTTGCACCCCAATGTCTCTAAAATAGGTTGGGGGAATGCCATCAGAGCCCGGTGATTTCTGACATTCCAAGATTTGGATTTCCCTTCGGATTTCCACCTCGGTAGGTGGACCTGTCGAAACGCACCACTGAACGTGTGCCGGAAGAGCTATGAGATGCTAACACTGAGGGCCAGCTGAACTGTGTCCGCGAGAGATCCACCCAGCGTTCGAGATGCCTATTCTGGTTGTGAATTTGCGAAACCGTCAGCCCTACAGATTGTTCCACTCGCACCCAATGACTTCTTATTGGTGACTCGAATGGGATAGAACAGCTTGTGGAAATTTCCCATGGCGGTAGTGCGTTCCATCTCAGGCACGTTGGGGCCACCAGATTTCGTGGTCCCTACGGAGACTTGCGTTGAACTCACGTCTCAGAACGAGTCGTGTTTTATCATGCTCGCTTCCAGCCGGCGCCGATAAGGCGCAGAGATCCAGTGTCTTGTGGCATAAAGACAGGACGTAACCTGCTAGACCATCTGAATACAAAGCATTCTCGATAAGCGACCAGTGCCGCTTTGTTATTAGGTGAGGCTAGAGCCAGGTTCTCAGCTAGCGCGTATCGGAACACGGACATACGAGATGGATGGGAAGATGTATCGCAATTTGTCCGCCTGTACGGCATGCGTTCGGAGGGCCTACCGAAGCACATGGGCAGCTTCATCATCATTATCACCGTGCAGCGCTAAACAGCATGGCAAACCCCACTGACCACTGCCCTCCTAACTATGTTGCACGTAGAATTAGAATGAATGAACAAAGTGGACAAGGAGTACAGCTACAGGAGTGGGACAATGAAAGAACGCCCTAGTAGTCAACACACGGAATATACAGTTTAACTTCACAAACGCACGCCGATCCCCAATTCCGATTCGATAGAAAGTGATAACACAATCGCCATTGTTCACGGTTCGGTGCCACATCCTTCAGTGTACCCAGCCAACTGTTCGATGGAACTTTTGGACCCCAAACACGAAGAAGTGAGGCGTCTCCTTTTCCTAAGTTCGATGTATATTTTCTCATTCCCGTTGCCAAGCCATCTGTTGACCTCTAAACGGTTTCTTCCACTCCCGATGAGGAACAGAAAAAAGCACATTACGGCAGACATGTTTGCCATAAGCAAAGTGTCCCAACCAACGAAGCCTACAAAGCTGAATAAGCTGTGATAGGACATTCGCTGAACATGTACTCAATATTTTATTTCTGACTTCATGGTTGCTCGCCCGGTCGTTCCATCCCGTCATAGCGATACTGCGCAAACATCGATAGTCGAA